TGCCTCCTTCTGTCTCACACCCCAGGGCACCTAGGCAACTACTTGTGGGTGCCCCGGTTTGGACTCGTAATTACGGCCCTGGTCATACATGGGTCCCCGCATCTATATCCAGGGTCACAGGTCCTCTATCCTATGAGGTATCCCTGGACAACGGTCGTGTCCTGCATCGGCACATTGACCAACTTCGCCCTAGACGGGACCTTCCCGCTGAGACTCCTGGGTCTTGTCCAGGGGGGGAGGGGGAGCCCTTTGGGCAAAGAGAGGGGCATGGAATGCTGCCCTTTACCAATGAGGGAGCCACAAACGGCCCATCCCAAAATTCCGTGAGTGCTCCAAACAGGAATTCTAGGAGCTTAACCAGTTATCAGGCATTCACGCCTACTCCAGCCAGGGAGTCACCCCGGGGGCATGATCACTTCTCACCCGTATCACTCAGTACTCCAGTCAGAGAGAATACCCGGGAGCATCCCAACAATCCATTCCCTGCAAGAGAGCTGGCACACACTCCTCCTAGTTGGCCTGACTTCAACCCTGTCCCTAGAAGGGGGCAAACACACAGGGAGGTGGTCGAGGAACCAAACCCCGACTACAACACCTCTGACTACACTCAGGGGACAACTGAGTTTTGGGACAGTACTGAACCCACACAAGCCCGGACACAGAACGGGATTCAGGGGATAGACAGCCTCCTGACAGGTCTTGGACAGACCTAGGAGGTTCTACAGAAACGCCCAACAGTGACAGTCACTTAAAAGGGCCAGAGAGCCTACAGCTAGGCGGGACAACCAGGTCATACACTGAAAGAAGCCCTGGCCTGACGAGCCCGGTGGGCAAGCAAGCAGGCCAGGCATTGGAGCACAGACCTTGGGAGTCACCAAGGCATAACCAGGGGAACAGGCACACATCACCCCTCAGTCAGGGGGTACCTGTCAGACACCCAGAGCTTAGGAGGTCACAGAGAGCAAGGAAATCTCCTAAGTACTTAGAGGATTACATAACACTATTGGCTAAACAGAGCCAGTAGAAGGATAGAAACACTAAGGCAATGGAAACGGGGGGAACTCCAAACATTGGGGGAGCAGAGCATTGTACTAAGAGTGGGTTGTGTATTATTATGGCATTGGTCGTAGTTTTAGCCCGGGGGAAAGGGGTGTTATGTCCTGAGCCTTGCAAGCAGGCTCGGGGCATTGCAGGCGGTCCCGGGCAGGTGCAAGCTGCCCGGGACCAGACAGGCTGTCGCCAGTACGTGTGCGCATGCACGGGTGCTGGCGCGCCAAAAGTAGCAGATTGACCCGGGAAAGGCTTATAAAAGGAGGCCGAGAGTTTTGGGCGTTGCCGCCATATTCCAATGTAAGCTGAACTGAAGAATAAAAGGTTTCCTGAGAACTACAACTGCTTCTCGTGTCTTACCATTTCGCGACAGACTCAACACTGACCAATTTTTTATTTTCCTTGCTCTTTTTTCTACCATTTTTGTTGTTATTACTAGTTCTTTCATTTCAACTTCTGTTTTATTTGCATCCACCTCTTTTAACCAAGCTGCATCCTTGTTGTATTTCTTTGGGTTATCCCATATCTGCTTCCAGAACTGCACTGTTTCTTCCTTGTCAGGTACTGAATGATTCCTTGCAGTTTCTCCATTGATGGATTGGTAGAAACGTTTCTGATTGGATTGAAATTGGAGGTTCTGCCTATAGTTTGCAATTCGAGCTTCATATCTACTGATTTTCCTTGCTATAGCTGTTATTTGTTGCTTTATTATTTCCAGTGCTTCCTTGATCTTCCTTGTTTCTAAGTGGTATTTCTTGATTAGGTATTCTTTGGTCTTCTTGTTCTTCAGCTTCTTTTCTTTCATCTGTTCTAGCTTGCTTGCATCTGATCTTAACTTGCTGATCTTATTTTCTAGTCTAACCTTCCATTTTTTTCTGGTGCACTGTTTGTTTGTTTTTCTTTTTTGTTGATTTTGCATCCCAGGTATTCTGTTATAACTGCAGCTGTGCTGTACATTAGTTGGTTTGTTTCTTGCAGTGAATTGGTGCTTATACTTGCTATTGCAGTATTTGCATCTTTTAATGCTTGTGCTATCTGTTTCTTTGGAACAAGCTTCAATGCAGGCAGCCTTATTCTGTTGTTTTTGTGCTGTTCTAGATGCTCAATTATTCTTTGTTTCAATTCTTTTATTTCTTTAGTTAGAGGGTTTTGTTCTTCCTGAGGTAAAGGTGCCTGGTTTCCAAATGAGAACAGTTGTATATCTCTGCTAGATTCCTTCACTGCCAACTCCCCCTGGTTTGCCTCTACATTCTGAATTACTTCTGGTAAGGCTTTGATTTCTTTGCCCTGGGTAAACTTTTGCAGTTCGTCCACTTCTGTTTCTGTGAATACTTTATTTCGTGTTATAAATCGGCGTTGATCTGCTAGTCTCTGTTCTGTTATTTCTGATTCTGGATGTTGTTCTTTCCAGAACTGGTGCATTCATTTTAGATATCCTCTTCTTGTTGGACTTGATCTGTAGTAACAGATCATTATTTCTTTGTTTTCCATCACTGTGTATCTGCGACGGGTAAACATCTTTTCTTCCAGTAGTTCTGCAGCTGCTGGCCCTGGTTGCTCAGCCAACAGCCCTGAGTCCTGTAACCCATTTTTCACCAGATATCCAGGAACTCCAATATCTAGTGTGGACCTTGTTAACCCGGGCGACGTCCGAGCTGGTATGGCATTCTGCAATTTACGTCTCACCATATTTTTTATGGGAGAGACACTCTTTGTCTGACTCCTCTGATGAGACCTGTCCAGTATGGTTGAACCTCTGGCATAGCTCTCATCTTCCTAAGAGTACACAGGCCCCACAACCACATCAAGGTAGTGCCTCACTGGGGGTTTATTATTATTATTATTATTATTATTATTATTATTATTATTATTATTATTATTATTTTATAGTAATTATTTCAGAATGCCATACCGGCTCAAATGTCGCCCGGGCAAAGAAATCAAATCAATAGGGAGACTAGGAGTTTTAACACAGAGGGGGAAGGGATTCTCATGAGGCCAACTAGTCCCATGACTGTGTGGACCCCCAGGTTTTGAACCCTAAAATCTGTTCATTCTGAGTCATTTTGTGCAGCATTATATTGTTATGTTTTCTTTTTGAAATGGTTCTATATAAAGAGTTTCTGTTTCGTTTCTGTTCGTTACTGGAAAAGTGGTGACATCACAGCTAGAAACAAAAGAAAAAAGAAAAAAAAGACATTTATTCAATATGAGGAAGTGGGGAATTCAGTTCTTTTTTCAGCTCCCCTTTGATCACTATGAGCAACCTGCTTCTGAATAAATGCCGTACTTTGAGTCTTTGAGCTGATTAAAAAGCAGAGAGTATCAAACAATCACATTATGGGAATTCCCAAGAATGCAGTCACCACTTTACTTTAAAATTTGATTTCCTAGAAATAAAAAGGCAAAAATATTTGCTGTGTTTCATGAGAATTTCAATGGAGAAGGGAAACTTGATTGGAGTTGGATGCCAACTAAGTTAGCTGCCCCTCAGCACCACTTAAATTAGTGGGGACTAAGTAATTGTTGATTTGTAGTGAGTTTCAGTAGGGACCAGTTTGTAACTTAGTGAGTCCAACGCAGAATTTAAGCCTCTGATAATAAACTCAGCTAAAACTGCAATAATCATTAATGAAGGCTGTTAAATATAAAATATATCCAATAGCCAATATTTAGATAAATAGGGAGAAGGAAATGGATCGAAAGAAAATTTTGTTTGATCACAGAGCAAAATATGTAGGACCAGCTAAATGCCGCTCATGATTTACAATAAAATATAAGGCGGGAGAGCCAGTTTGGTGTAGTGCTTCAGGCATCAGACTGGAAACCAGGAGATCTGTGATTTCTAGTCTGACCTTAAGGGAAAAGCCAGCTGGGCGATCTTGGGCCATTCATTTTCTCTCAGCTCTAGGAAGGAAGCACGTCACCACCTGGCCTTTGCTTGCAGAGAGCAGAATTAGCGACTCAGTGGGATGTTTGGGTCTTGGTCAATCAGAAGATATCTATCATGTCCATGTCTAGGAAAGGAGGAATTTGTCTCCAGCTCTTTTTGGGGGGGGGCTCTATTTTATAGTTGTGATGTCACCACTTTTTCAGTAATAGCTAGAGGTGAAAAAGAAAAGAAGACAGAGAAATACAAGCATCCACTCCTAGACACAAGACAATCTAAAAAAGAAAACCTAACTAAGAACATAAAGCTACACAAAATGATTCAGAGTGAATTGAAGGGTCTTCTTAATGAGTTTTTTGAGTGAACTGAAAAGCATGCAGGCAGTCCTCACCTTACAGCCATTCATTTAACGACTGTTCAAAGTTACAGTGGCACTGAAAAAAGTGACTTATGACTGGTCCTTGCCCTTACGATCGTCACAGTAGCCAAACAGGGGGTCAAAATTTGGGTGCTTGGCAACTGGCACGAACTGGTGATGATTGCAGCATCCCAGACTCACATGATCACCATTTGCGATCCTCCCAATTGACTTCCAACAAGAGAAGTCCATGGGGGGAGCTGGATTCACTTAACAACTGTATGATTCCCATTACAACTGTGGCAAAAAGGTTGTAAAATTGGGCATAACTCACTCAGCAGCCGCCTTGCTTAGGAACAGACATTCTGCTTTCAGTTGCGGTCATAGATTAAGGTCTACCCGTATAAACTTAACAAATAAATAAAATGTATTTCTAGATTCTTAGTGTAATGGTTCAAATGATTTAAAATGGTTTAAAGGCTCAAACTGCTGTGGCTGTTGCATTGCTGATATGCTGAAATCATTTGAAGGCCTCAGAAAGCGAAAGGTTAAGGAAGTCAAATGTTTCCTTCGGCAGCACATATATTAAAATGGGAACCACACAAGAAAGTGAACAGGAAACGAATCTTATATGGGTGGGGAGACTATGGGAATAAAAGAAGTGATACTTATGTCTTCACATGTAGTAACTGGGAGTGGAGCCCAAGCATTTTTGTGCGTTATCTCCTGCAAGAAGACCAAGAAACAAATTCTAAACTGTGAGATAGTATTTCTTTATCTCTTTAACCATTTAAAAATTGGCAAATTTTATTAAGTTTTTATGGTTACAAATCTTTAGTGCTTAATAAACGTGTTATCTGGGTTCACATATTTAACATTAGTGGTAATACAACTTCCATTTTTACTCTCTATTCTGCTTTTCTAGCCATTTATAAAAGTTATCCCATGTTTGAAAATTCTTTGTATCTTCTTCCGATGGTGTTTCTTCATTTTTCCAATGCTATGCAAATGTAATTCTCGCTGCTGTTAGTACATGTAATATTAAATATATCCTTTTTTCATAGTTCTCTGTAATTATACCTAAAAGACATAGTTCTGGCTTAAAATCTACATGTTTTCTTAACATTTTCTGTAACCACATGTGTCTTTTTGACTAAAATGTTTTTGCTTTAGGGCACGTCCACCAAAGATGGTAGTACGTGTCTGGCTTTTGCCTACATTTCCAACAGTTACTAGACATGTTTTTAAACATATTTGCTAATCTTGCTGGTGGTAAATGCCCTCTATAAAACATTTTATATAGATTTTCTTTATAAGTAGTTGCCCTTATTATTTTATAGTTTCTTTCCCACAATTTTTGCCATTTTTCTAATTCTACATTGCGTCCAAATTTTTTTGCCCAAGTTATCATTGTTTCTTTAACTTGTTCATCTTCCACCTTCAGGTTTAACCAAAATTTATAGATTTTATTAATCAATTTTTTTATCTGTTGACAATAGAATCTGGTCAAAAACTGTTTGATTTTTGTAAAAGCCATATGTTTTGGCATCTTTTTTATATCTAATTAGCATTTGTAATTATGACCCCCATGATAGCTCAATACCCTCTTCTTCCAATTCATGTTTAGTTTGTAATTTCCCATCAGTATTCAAAATGTCTCTGCATGTCACAAGTTCCTCATAGTTGATTAAAGTTGAGTGCACAAACGTTTCTATTGTCGGGATCCATCCTGGTATTTTCATATACATTTTCATTTTTATCTTTTCCCATGTCAAAAGGTATTTCTTATATCAGTGGTTCTCAACCTTCCTAATGCCATGACCCTTTAATACAGTTCCTCATGTTGTGGTGACCCCCAATCCACCTCCCAGCTGGCTGGGGGGGGGAATCTGTGGGTCTCTGGGATGGGACTGGGGTGGGTGCCTGCCTTCCTTCCCTCCCTTCTCTCCCCTTGTCCCTTCCTTTCTTCTTTCCTTCCTTTCCTTCACCTCCCTCTTAGTCTCTTCCTCCTTTCCTCCCTCTCCCATTGTCCCTTCCTTCCTTTTTTCCTTCCTTTTCTTCACCTCCCTTAGTCTTTTCCTCCTTCCCTTCCTCTTTCCCATTTTCCCTTCCTTCTTTCCTTCCTTTCCTTCCTTCCCTCTTAGTTCCTTCCTTTCTTCCCTCCCTCCCTTCCATTGTTCTTTCCTTCATTCCCTCTCTCATTGTCCCTTACTTCCCTCCCTTTTCATCCCTTCCTTCCTCCCCCCTCCATGTCCAGGAAGGGACAAGGGGAGGGGCACAGGCTGCCAGAGGCAGAGGAGAGCTCCGCCCAGCTCACTTGCTCATCTTCATCAGAAAACATGCCGCTTGTTAAGTTAGCAGAAGCCCCAGGATCAAAGCCAGGCTACAGCTGATTCGTGCTTCTGCTAAATTAGCAAGCTGCATGTTTTCTAGCAAAGCTTGAGTAAGTTTGCTTGGCAGGAGCCAAGGAGAGCTGCTACAGCTGACCTGCTTCTTGGCTGCTCTGCAAAAGCGCAGATCAGCTGTAGAGGTTTGCCCTGATCCTGGACAAGAGGGAAGGAAGGAAGGGCAGAAGGGACAAGGGGAAAGAGGGAGGGAAGGAGGGACAAAGAGGGAGGCGAAGGAAAGGAAGGAAGGAAGGAAGGAAGGGACAAGGGGAGAGAGGGAGGGAAGGAGGGACAAAGAGGGAGGTGAAGAAAAGGAAGGAAGGAAGGAAGGAAGAGACAATGGGAGAGGGAAGGACGGAGGAAGAGACCAATAGGGAGGGAAGGAAAGGAAGTTCCACCCAGGAGAGGCTTGCCAGCCCAGCTGCCGAGAAACAGAAGAGCGCAAAGCCAAGGAGAAGAAGCTGGCAGTTTCCTCCCAAAGGGGGCTCCTTTTCTCCACCCCTTCCCTGGGTTTGTGGGGAATTTCTCGTCACCAACACTGACAAGTGCTCCTTCGAACCTGCCACAAGCTTTCTTGTCCCCTTTGCTTCCCCCCCCTGCTTTTGTGAGGATTGTGGCACCCTTGGGAAGCCAAACGAAGCTTAGGAGAGGAGGAGGAGTCCCTTCCTCCTTCCCTCCCTCTCTCCCTGTCAAGCCCCAGCGGGCTCGACATGAACGGGTGGAGGAGGAGTCAAGGATGGGTGGGGTGGTAAAGTAGACCTGCGGCTGTCTCCAGACCTCCCGGCAAGTTCGGGGGTCCCCAGCTAATGGGCACAGGAGTTGGGTGCTGCGGCAGCCTCCCCTTCACTGACCTGCGTGCACAAGAAGAAGTCAATCTGGTTGCTGCACAATGAGTCTCTGGGGAGGGCGGGGCCTTGCTCTGCACCTGCGCTCTTCATGCACCCCTTGCAGGGCCCATTTGAGAGAGTTTGTGCAGACTGCCGCCAAGCAGCATATTTTCCACAAAGAAGTGAGGTGGAGCGGAGAGGTGGGAGGGAGAGAAGGCAATTGACAAGCCCTGCCTAAGACCTTCGGAAATATGTGTTTCCCGATGGTCTGAGGTGACCCCTGTGAAAGGCTCGTGCGACCCCCAAAAGGGTCACGACGCACAGGTTGAGAACCACTGTTCTAGAGTAAATACCAAATTGTCTGCCATGCTTGTAATTTCTATTTTTCATCTTTTATCTCCATACCTTTAATTTCTGGGTCCTTCTAACATTTCTATTCAACACTTCCAGAATTAAAATAAATAATAATGGAGATAGTGGACACCCTTATCTTGTGCCTTTTTTAATATTAAAATTCTCTGTAAAATCTCCATTTCCTATTACTTTAGCCATTTGTCTATAGTACATTGTTTTAATTATATTTATAAGGTTTTCTCCGAAATCCATATAGTTTAATTGTTGTGCCATAAATTGCCAGTTGACACTATCAAAAGCTTTCTGCGCATCTAAAAAGATCAATGCTATTTGTTTCCCTGGATGGTATCTAAAACCATTCTTAGGTTGTTCTTTATTTGTCTCTTTGCTAAATATACATTTTGGTCTGGAGGTATGAATTCAATCAATAATCTCTTCAGTCTTTCTGCTATTTTTGAGGCAAAAATTTTGTAGTCCATATTTAGCAATGATATTGGTCTATAATTCTTTACCTGAGTCAAGTCTGGGTCTTCTTTTGATATTAAAGTGATATTGGCTTCTATCCATGTATTTGGTAGTTAGGCCTCTACTAATACTTCATTACATACTTCTTGCATTGATGGCTTAGTATATCTTATAGGCTTTTATAAAATTCTGCGGGTAGCCCATCTGGGCCTGATGTCTCATTGGTTTTTTGTCTTTTTATAGCTTCTGTCAGCTCCATCATTGTTATTTCCTCATTTAACATATTTTTAAAGTTCTCTGGAACCTTTGGTAGGTTAGCATTTTCTATATATTGTCTTATTTTTTCCTGAGTAATTTCTTTTTTATCATAAGGTATCTCATAAAATTCTTTATTTTTTTTTTACATTATATCATTTTGGTATTGTAGATTGCCTCTTACATCTTGCTATTTATTTATCTGTTTTTTTTCTCTCTCTTTTCAGTTTGTAGGCTAACCATCTACCCAGCTTTTTAGCATTTTCAAAGAAGTTTTGTTTTGCTCTTTTAATTTTGGGGCCATTTCTTCTGTTTCTATTAAATTTAATTTGTGTTTTATTATCTCCATTTGTTTTTTAAGCGTCTTCTTGTGTGGGTCTCTTTGTAGTTCTAGTTCTAATCTTGTCAATTCTTCCTTTAGCTTCATCTGTTCTTGTTTTTTTTTCCTTGTTCTTTTTCACCTTATAAGTTTTGGCTAATCCTCTAAAATATGCTTTGGCTGTATTTCAAAAGTTTTGGAGTGATGTATCTTCTTTCTTGTTTTCTTCATAGAATATAGAATTAGGTATGTCGATATGGGTGGGGTTTTCTTTGAAATAACTTGATAAAGAGGAAGTATCAAACAGCAACTAACTGAAAAGGTTACAAGAAGCCAAGGGAAATTGAGGCTTTGGCTTGCCAGATTGGGTTTTATATTATCAAGCATCAGAGTTAACATGGATAAAAGAATGGATCTTAGAAATAAAAGATTGTTGTATCTGGAGGGACATGACCTGCAGCTTGATTGGCATGCCTTTCTATGGCATGGGGAAAAAAATAAAATACATAAATACTTCCAAAACCACTACATTAGAAATGTATTCTTATTAACTTGGGAACAAATAAAATGTAAAATTTATTTGAAAATTTCAGGATGGCTTTCAACAATGGAAGCATTCGTACATCCAAATCTAATCAATCTCATTAAAATATGGACATACAAAGATATTCTAAATTCTGAAGGGAATTTAAAATCCAGGCAAGAGATGGAAAATCAGGGCATTGATTTAACATGGTGGTCACATTTACAAATGCAAGTCAGATATGATAAAGATATTAAACAGTATGGACTTTACAAAGAACAGAATGTGTAAAAACAAACCAGGTACTTATTATCATATGTAGTGAACATGTTAAAGCAAGGAGATATTGGACAATAATCCACACTTGGTTAGAAAAAATGTTAGAGAAACACATAGACTATAAGCCTGATTTTTTTTTAATTAGATGTAATGCCAGAAAAACCTGATAAGCAAAGTACATATTTGATTCTACATGTGATAACAGTGGCAAGAATTATATTTGCACAATATTGGAAGAATGAAGAAATACCACCAGAAGAAGAAATAATAATAAAAAATATTAGACTGTGAGGAAATGGACAGACTTACTTTAAGGTTGAAAGGAAAAGAAGAAACAGAATATTTCAAACTTGGGACCTATTTTATCAATGGCTAGCTAGAGAAAACATTTAGAGATTAGGAATTTAATTTGTATTAGTGAATAAGATACTCAGACAACATGTTTTTGTTGTATAATTATTTAAATTTAAATAAATTTCAATAAATAAAACTTAAAAAAAATTAAGCAATGTGTTTCAACTGGGTGAAAGTATTTTTTTTCCTGCTCTACTTAAAAAAAAAAAAAACATGTTTCTCTGTGGGAAAAAAAGCCCAAAATCAAGGCTCCTGGAAGCAAGAGGGTTGGTGGATGGGGGGGGGAGTTCTTTGGTGCCCATCCCTCCTAGAAGAATGGCGGTGGTCTATATCTACGGGAAGAAAAATAGTCAGACTATAAAACTAAATTAGAAATAATGTAAAGTTGTAAAAGTGAAAAATTTGGGAGACTTAAAGTAAATGGACTCTTTAAAAGAGACCCACTTCCAGCTTATTCACAATCAACAGCCCTGCTGAGTCAATCAAATCTCGCCATTCCTATGATCTACAAGCACCCAGTCACGTAGGCAAGATTGATCCCAACTACCAGGAAATACTGGGTGACAGGAAAGAAAGATATGGATGTTTCCTTTGGATTAGCCACATTGCTTTGCATATCCAAAGTAGCAAACTAAATAGAACAAAATGGGGATCTAGAACGTCAACTCTTCTGTTCCTAATCCATCTGTTATGCTGTGAATGGCAGAATGATGGGCTGATAAAGAAAGCTGAAGGGCTCCCATCCAGGGGGCATGGGACATTCTCACATTCTAGCACTCTAGAACAGTGGTTCTCAACCTGTGGGTCGGGACCCCATTTGGGGTCGAACGACCATTTCACGCGGGTCGCCAAACAAGGCTGTCCGCCATTTTTTTCCCCTTTTCTTTGGCCACGCCCCTGGCATCCAGTGATGTGTAAGTAGTTGGGGGTCACCACAACATGGGGAACTGTATTATGGGGTCGCGGCATTAGAAAGGTTGAGAACCACTGCTCTAGAATAACCCTGCTGTGTTCTTCAAAGGGAAGCCTTTCCCAAGTTCCTTTTTATTTGTTTATTTGTTTATTTTCACATTTCTGTACCACCACCCCTTCAAAGAGAGACTATTTTAATCTTTTCAATATGCAGGTTTCAGGTTGGAAATCATTTCATTGTTTATTTCGTTCTGGCACTGCCATTTTAATGCATAAGTATAGCAGTGGGAATCTAGTTAATGCCAAAGACATGCTATAGTAATAGTAGTAAAGTTGGAAGGGACCTTGGAGGTCATCTAGTCCAACCCCCTGCTCGGGCAGGAAACCCTACACCATTTCGGACAAATGGCTGTCCAGTCTCTTCTTAAAAACTTCCAGTGTTGGAGCATTTACTGCTTCTGGAGGCAAGCTGTTCCACTGATTAATTGTTCTCACTGTCAGGAAGTTGCTCCTTAGTTCTAGGTTGCTTCTCTCCTTGATTAGTTTCCACCCGTTGCTTCTTGTCCTGCCTTCAGGTGCTTTGGAAAATAGCTTAATTCCCTCTCCTTTATGGCAGCCCCTGAGATATTGGAATACTGCTATCATGTCCCCCCTTGTCCTTCTCTTCGTTAAACTAGACATACCCAATTCTCGCAACCGTTCCTTATATGTTTTAGCCTCCAGTCCCCTAATCATCTTTGTTGCTCTTCTCTGTACTCTTTCTAGAGTCTCAACATCTTTTTTACATCGTGGTGACCAAAACTGGATGCAGTATTCCAAGTGTGGCCTTACCAAGGCATTGAAGAGTGGTATTAATACTTCACGTGATCTTGATTCTATCCCTCTGTTAATGCAGCCTAGCACTGTGTTGGCCTTTTTGGCAGCTGCAGCACACTGCTGGCTCATATTTAAGTGATTGTCTACTAGGACTCCGAGGTCCCTCTCACAGTTACTACTATTGAGCATGGTGCCACCTATGCTGTACTTGTGCATTTGGTTTTTCTTGCCTAAATGTAGAACCTTGCTTTTTTCACCATTGAATTTCATTTTGTTAGTTAGTGCCCAGTGTTTAAGTCTGTCCAGATCCTTCTGTATCTGAAGCCTGTCTTCTGGAGTGTGGCTATTCCTGCCAGCTTGGTGTCGTCTGCAAATTTGATGAGTTCCCCATCTATCCCTTCATCCAAATCGTTGATGAAGATGTTGAAGAGTACTGGGCCCAGAACAGAGCCCTGGGGCACCCCACTACACACTTCCCTCCATATAGATGCAGTTCCATTGAGGACCACTCGCTGAGTACGGCCGGTCAGCCAGCTACGGATCCATCTGGTGGAGGTTCTGTCTACCCCACATTTTTCTATCTTGTCAAGTAGTAGGTTGTGATCTACTTTATCAAATGCCTTACTGAAGTCCAAGTAAATTATGTCCACAGCATTCCTCTGATCCACTAATTTTGTCACTTGGTCAAAGAATGCAATAAGATTTGTCTGGCATGATCTATTTTTGACAAACCCATGTTGGCTTTTAGTAATGACTTTGTTTGCCTCTAGGTGTTCGTTGATTCGTTGTTTGATTATCTTTTCCAGGATCTTCCCAGGTATTGAGGTCAGGCTGATAGGTCTGTAATTTCCTGGATCCATTTTTTTTTCCTTTTTTGAGGATGGGAACTACATCAGCTCTTTTCCAGTCCTCTGGTAGTTCCCCTGTGTTCCAGGATCTTTGAAAAATATAGTTCAGTGGCTCCGATATCACATATGCCAGTTCCTTCAGAACTCTGGGGTGTAATCTGTCTGGTCCTGGCGATTTGAACTCATCTAGGCTGGACAGGTGCTCACTAACGATTTTCTTGCCTATCTTAACTTGTGTTTCTGATTTGTTTTTTATGGCACTATTTTTGATAGGTTGGTCTGTTTTTTCCCTTTGTGTAAAGACAGATGCAAAAAATGAGTTAAATAGTTCTGCTTTCTCCCTGTTGCTTGTCACCTTCTTGCCACTTCCACCCACTAATGGACCAATCATTTCCTTCACTTTTTTCTTGTTTTTTACATGTTGAAAGAAGCTTTTTTTGTTATTTTTGACTTTGGTCACAAGCCTCAGTTCATTTTGAGCCTTGGCTTTCTTCACTTCATCTTTGCAGGCTCGGGCTATTTGCTGATATTCTGACTTAGTTATGTTCTCCTCTTTCCACTTTCTATACTTGTCCTTTTTATCTTTCAATTTGTCAGAAAGTTCTTTATGCAGCCATGCTGGTTTCTTTTGAGAGCTGTTATTTTTCCTCTTTGTTGGTATTGTGCTAGACTGTGCTTTTATTATCTCATTTTTTCAAAATTTCCCAAGCTTCTTGAGTTGTTTTTTCCTTGAGGATTCTCATCCATGGAATCCTTCCCAAGCCCTGTCTAAGTTTATTGAAATTAGCTCTCTTGAAGTCCAAGACTCTAGTTTGACTGTGTTCTATTGGTTGTGCTTCTATAATGTTGAATTCTAATATTGTTCTGATGACAAAGTTCCACCTATTAATCTCATTGAAGAATCTTTGATGAGAACTCTCAGCAACTTTTAATTTCCTTGCCAAATCTTGCCAAATCAAATGACCAAATGACCTGAATAAATTATTAGTGATAGTAGGTAAAAGCACCATACCATTAATAGATCTGGTTTCATCAGATCTGAATCTCATCTCTCAAGAAACCATTTGAAGGCACTCCTGCTGTTGTTGCTTGGAATTAACCTGGTTGAGTCCCTTTCTGATTTGCAAAAATGTATGCAAAGCTTCATTTGAGGAAAATATAGGACTGAATGTGGGTGGAAATATCTCTTGGTGGAAGGACAGGTTCAGTTCAGACTGAGATGCTCCCTGAGAGACAATTGTTTTATTCTATCATATATTGTGAAATACGCACCCATTGGCAAGAAATTATGTGCCACCTTTATAGTTTTTGACAGCATAAAGAGAAACGTTTTGTGGAAGACACATTTAATCATGGAACCCGGATTCTTCTTTCTGGTAATGCTCTCTAGTCAGATATCTATTTGAAAGTCTATTCCGGGGTCAAGGACTCTCAGTTTTCCCAGTGAGTTTATCATGTCACTAAAATTACCCCCAAATTCTTAGCATACAAAGTAATTAAGATGCATAACTATAAATGATCAAAATAATGAACATCAATAACATAAACTTAATGTTGTCCTCCTGTTTCATCCCAGACCTCTTGGCCAGTGACAGACCAGAGACATTTGGTACAATGAATGCCCTGCATTTTGGTGCTATGTTCTTTTGCTTCATTAGTCTTCTGTGCCTGCTCGCTGCTTTGAATTCAGACTATTGGATTGAGGACTCTGATATACATCTTGGTCTATGGAACGCTTGTAAAGGCATAGAATGTGTTATAATAGATGTGGAACCGATTCCAGGTAAGATTCAGTATTCCAAATACATCACTAGCCTGAAATGCACAAGAACCTCCATCGTGAATTCTTACCTTGTGTCTGCATTGGCTCCTGATAGCCTCTTTACATGCCACCCGAACCTTTATGTTTCTGGGGATGATCGCTGGAGCTGCCTCTCTCGTTCGGCTTTGCACCCTGAATAAAACCTGCAGTGTTGGCAATACCACTATCTCCATGGGCTGGATCACATATATTGGCAGCTTTATGGCAGGTAAGCATCTTTGCAATAATCTTTTCCCAGATGTGTTTTTTGTGTGACTTAATTCAGCACTATCACTACTATTTATAGTATAGTATGTATATGTATGTATGTAAGTATAGTATAGTATAGTATAGTATAGTATAGTATAGTATAGTATAGTATAGTATAGTACAGTACTATACTATTATAGGAACTATGGTGGCACAGTGGTTAGAATGCAATATTGCAGGCCAATTCTGCCAACTGCCAGCAGTTCAATTCTCACCGGTGACTCAGCCTTTCATCCTTCTGAGGCCAGTAAAATGAGGACCCAGATTGTTGGGAACAAAATGCTGATTCTGTAAACTACTTAGAGAGGGCTGTAAAGCACTGTGAAGCGGTATGTAAGTACAAGTGCTAATGCTATTTGAAACTTCCTCTTTATCAAATTATTAAAAAAAACCAACCCCATCCATACTGTCATTTTAGTAATGTAGACTCGGAAATAACTTCAAGAGCTGGATTGCATCTATTGCCAACATTATTGCATGTAAGGAAATTGCTATTTGATACTTCCTCTTTATCAAGTTATTTCAAAGAAAACCCCACCCATACTGTCATTCCTAATTCTACATTCTGCTTGCTTTTGAAATTCATTTTAGTTCATGTTTCCTAAGGAAGTTTCAAATAGCAACAGCTCTTAAGACTTATATAACGTTTTACGTGTTTTACAGCCCTAGTGGGCATTTCCAAAGGCAGAAAAGGCATGGCTCCAGTATCCTCCAAGATGGCATTGTTTAGTTGACGGGAGATGAACCACACCTGCCTTGTCAGACTTTGCAGGATGGACAGGGACAATGGGGCAAAGGCAGTCCCATAAAGAGCCAGGGTCCAAATAAGGAAAGGCTTTATAGATGGAAACCAGCACCTTGAGTTCCACTCAGAAATCAACTGGCAACCATTGCAGTTCTTGAAGTGGTGGACATACTGAAATGCATTCATAATTACATGCAGCCACTTTATGGACTAACTTTAGTTCCCAGTGCATCTTTCAAGGGTGTCTTGAAGTGTGGCACTGTATACATTATCCCACAGAAGAGACAGCTAAAGCATGAGTGACTGTGAGAAGAGCCTTTGTTTCAGGAAAGGATGCAGTTCAGTGTTAGAAGAGAGTCCTGGTGGTGCAGTGCAGTAGTGCAGCTACTTCTGCTGACTGCCGGCTGCCAGCAGTTCGTCAGTTCAATTCTCACTGGCTCAAGGTTGAGCCAGCCTTCCATCCTTCCAAGGTTGGTAAAATGAGGACCCAGATTGTTGGGGCAAAATGCTAACTCTGTAAATCACTTAGAGAGGGCTGTAAAGCCCTTTGAAGAGATATAAAAGTCTAAGTGCTATTACTATCTATAAATGGGAAAATGTGAAACTGAGAAAATAAAATCGGCAAATTAACCCAAAGATGCTTTTCAAAAGACAACTGGGCTTTGTTTTTCATTGAAGATTTTTCTCTTCTCATGCAAGAAGTTACACAAAGTTCTTTCCTTGGATGAAAAGCAAAATGTCTTCAAGGAAAAATAAATTAACGCACTCTTCTCTATGCCAGTTTCTGAGTTTGGCGCAAATATGAAATACTTGGACTATCTCAATGCAATAAGCACCCCAACAGATTGCCGCCTTCTTTGTAATGAGAGCCGATAAGCCCGTTGGTGACTTCCATACTTCTGAAGGAAATGTTTCTACATCTACCTTTTTCTTGATTTCCAGGCTTCTGCGTCATGATTGCCATGTCCATTTTCTCAGGAACATTTGGTTCCACCAACCAATATGGATGGTCTTTCGGCTTAGGCTGGGCCTCTTTTCCATTGTACCTTCTAACTGGTAAGGATCTTTTTGGGATACTCTGGTGAGATTTTTTTTTAAAGTTACATCTTTATGCATTCTGTATAGTTTGACAACAATGAAATTTGTTCCATTTTGGATTGGGAACTAAGTGCATTTCCTTGGCAGGAGAGGAATCAGCAACATCTAAACATCCAAACATCCACATTTCCTGTATTACAGCTTATCCAACCCCTTGCTTGCTTGGGACCGAAAATATTTGAAGTTCAGGACATTTAGAAGACACTAGATTACCTGAAGTACCTGACATAAAGATTGCATGCAATTAAGAGCGATAGATCTATTCTGAAACATTGACTTTTGAGGATTAGAGCTTGGTCTTAAGGAGATGAATAAAGAGATGAGGTTGAGTTCAGAGCCCCATAGATTCTTGGTTTTTTTTAAAAAAAAAACATTCTACTTCATCTGCTGTGTGGCTAATCCATTATTTTTTTCTCTTTGGACAGGTTCTCTTCTTTATAGATTGCATAAGAATACAGCAACATCAGCATAGCAAAGAGGTTGCAAGGGAAATCGCCAGGGCTATTACAACCAGTGGCAAGTCCCTCAGCCCCCTGGAGGGAAATCGCCATGGATTTTATAGTGGAATTGCCAGAAAGCAATGGGAATACTGTTATCTGGACAGTCACAGACTTGTTTTCCAAACAGGTGCACTTTATCCCTTGCCAAAAGATTCCCACTGCAAAGACCTTAGCAAAACTTTTCATCCAGCACATTTACAGATTGGACAGGGCACCCCAACGCATCATCTCTGATAGGGGAGTGCAATTTATGTCTGCATTTTGGAAGGAATTTTTATCCCTCTTAGGGACCACTCAGGGACTGACATCTAGCCATCACCTTCAGACAGATGGACAAACGGAACGTTGTCATTCAGTACTTGAGCAATATTTGAGATGTTTTTTAAATTTCCAACAGAGTGATTGGACGGACTTACTCCCTTTTGCAGAAGTTGCCTACAATAATGCAGTCCACTCCAGCACAGGCTACACTCCTTTTCAAATAGCCAACGGTCAAAGTTTCAGCCCCATGCCAGAATTAACCCCAAACAAACCAATGATCCCATCACTGAAAGAATGGATGGAAAAACTACAAAACACCTGGCCAATAGTTAGAAAAGCACTAGATGAAGCTAGGCAGGCATACAAAGCACAAGCCGATAAAAAAAGGGTTGAGCCTACACCATTCATTATAGGAGAAATGGTGTACTTATCTACAAAATACCTAAAGTCCCTACAGCCCTGTAAAAAACTTGGACCAAAATATATAGGACCTTTTCCAATTAAAAGAATCATAAATCCAGTAACAGTAGAATTAGAATTACCCAAAAATCTCAGGCAAATACACCCAATTTTTCATTGCAGCTTGCTGAAAAGAGAGCATCAGTCACCTCTACGGCCAAAAATCCCCCCACCACCACCTCCAATCATGGTGGAGGGGAACAACACTTCAAAATAAAGGAAATCCTTGACTCTAGGAGATATCATGGAGCAACTCAGTACCTAGTTGCCTGGAAACACCTCCCTCCCTCACAAAACGAGTGGGTCCATAAACGTCATGTCAGAGCCCCGAAGCTATTGAAGAAGTTTCACACAGAGTATCCTAACAAGCCTGACTAACTTTTATACCTGTTTTGTTTTCTTCCAGGTGGATCTCTCTTATTTTTAAGGGGGGGCGGATGTCAGAATCCAATTATACTTCATCTCCAGTTATCAAATATAGAAAACCCCAATTCTGCCTTATCTAGATTCTGCCATAAGAGGGAGAGAAGGGGGAGAACAAAGGGGCTTTATGGCCCTCACTTCCTTCAGTATACTTCTAAGGAACTGAATGTGTGTATTGCAAAAGAACTAACCATAAGAATGGGGCCATTTTCCTTTCATGTAGTTTCTTTGAAGTCTCCATCCAGCCAGGCAGTAATGAAAAGGGGAGTGGAAGTGTAATGCCTGAGACTGTCACTGAAAGAGGGGGTTGATTGGGTGGGGCTACTAGGGAAACCCTTAAAAGCTTGAATTGGAGAGCTTGGACCCCAAGTCCTGTCTAGCACGCTTGCAACCACTTCTTCTTAATAAAGGATTCCTGTTGGAAGAATTATTCCAAGAGTTCTGTCTTCTTAAGATGCAAAGTGGGGTGGGTCCTTACACATAGGAGAAATGTGCTGCCTTTGGAGATGACCAGTGAAGCTGCATTGATAATCTGGAGGCATAGATAATGTCCAATCAGAATTATTTCCCCTGCACCAAATTTATAAGATGAAGGATGAAGGCAGAAGAATTAGTTTAACTTTAGAAAAACAGCCGTACATTCCCAGCCCCTCCCCGTCCCATTTTTCTCTAAAATATTCAGATTGTTTCTTTCTGAAGGCCATTCGGATTTGCAAATATTAAGACTTTGGGAGACTTCTGCAAGCAGGTCCCAGGAAGCAGGAATTCTACTTTTTTCCCTTCTTTCCTGTTCCAGGAAACCAAAGGTGTTTTTTGATTGATCTGTGCTCTGAGGGTCCACACCCATTTGCACTATTCAGGTGACCCAGAGAGCACAGATAAACCCCCAAGTGGCCTCAATAACTTTCAGAAAGAGTACTAACAATAAATCAAAATATACATAAATACTTCCAAAATCACTACATTAGAAATGTATTGTTATTAACTTGGGAAAAAATAAAATGTAAAATTTATTTGAAAATTCCAGGATGGCTTTCAACAATGGAAGCATTCGTACATCCAAATCTAATCAGTCTCAATAAAATATGGACATACAAAGATATTCTAAATTCTGAAGGGAATTTAAAATCCAGGCAAGAGATGGAAAATCAGGGCATTGATTTAACACGGTGGTCACATTTACAAATGCAAGTCAGATATGATAAAGATATTAAACAGTATGGATTTTACAAAGAACAGACTATGTTTGATCAGACATTATCAACTTCTGATGAAAAGTTAATTAAAATGTACAATTTCTTATTAAACTTCAAAGTGGAATATGAACAAGTAAAAGAGACAATGATAGTATGGGCAAAGAATTTTGGATATAATATAGATTTGGAAAAGTGGCAAAGTTTATGGGAAAGAAACTATAAATTGACAATGTCAGCTTCATACAAAGAAAACTTATATAATATGTTTTATAGATGGCATTTGCCACCAACAAGATTAGCAAAAATGTTTAAAAACACGTCAGAGAAATGTTGGAAATTGAAAAACAAACCAGGTACTTATTATCATATGTGGTGGACATGTGTTAAAGCAAGGAGATATTGGACAATAATCCACATTTGGTTGGAAAAAATGTTAGAAAAACACATAGACTATAAGCCTGATTTTTTTTAATTAGGTATAATGCCAGAAAAACTTGATAAGCAAAGTACATATTTGATTCTACATGTGATAACAGCAGCAAGAATTATATTTGCACAATATTGGAAGAACAAAGAAATACCACCAAAAGGAAAAAAGAAACAGAATATTTCAAACTTGGGACCTATTTTATCAATGGCTCGAGAAAACATTTAGAGATTAGCAATTTAATCTGTATTAGTGAATAAGATACTCAGACAACACATTTTTGTTGTATAATTATTTAAATTTAAATAAATTTAAATAAATAAAACTTTAAAAAAATTAAGCAATGTGTTTCAACTGGTGAAAGTATTTTTTTTTCCTGCTCTACTTTAAAAAAAATGTTTCCCTGGGGGAAAAATAGTCCAAAATCAAGGCTCCCAGAAGCAAGAGGGTGGGTGGATGGGGGGGGGGTTCTTTGGTGCCCATCCCCCCTAGAAGAATGGTGGTGGTCTACATCTAAGGGGAGAAAAATAGTCAGACTATAAAACTAAATTAGAAATAATCTAAAGTTGTAACACTGAAAAATTTGGGAGACTTAAAGTAAGTCACTTCCAGCTAATTCACAATCAAGTCTCACTATTCCTATGATCTGCAAGGACCCACTCACGTAGGCAAGGTTGATCCCAACTACCAGGAAATACTGGGTGACAGGGAAGAAAGATGTGGATGTTTCCTTTGGATTAACCACATTGCTTTGCATATCCAAAGTAGCAAACTAAATAGAACAAAATGGGGATCTAGAACGTCGACTCTTCTGTTCCTAATCCATCTGTTATGCTGTGAACGGCAGAACAATAGGCTGATGTAGAAAGCTGAAGGGCTCCCATCCAGAGGGCATGGGACATTCTCACATTCTAGCACTCTAGAATATCCCTACTGTGTTCTTCAAAGGGAAGCCTTTCCCGAGTTCCTTTTTATTTGTTTATTTATTTATTTTCACATTTCTGTACCCCCCCTTCAAAGACAGAGATCTTTTCAATATGCAGGTTTCAGGTTGGAAGTCATTTCATTGTTTATTTCATTCTGGCACTGCCATTTTAATGCATAAGTGTAGCAGTGGGACTCTAGATAATGCCAAAGACATGTTACAATATTGTTCTGATGACAAGGTTCCACCTATCAATCTCATTGGAGAATCTTTGATGAGAACACTCAGCAACTTTAAATTTCCTTGCCAAATCTTGCCAAATCAAATGACCAAATGACCTGAATAAATTATTAGTGATAGTAGGTAAAAGCACCATACCATTAATAGATCTGGTTTCATCAGATCTGAATCTCATCTCTCAAGAAACCATTTGAAGGCACTCCTGCTGTTGTTGCTTGGAATTAACCTGGTAGAGTCCCTTTCTGATTTGCAAAAATGTATGCAAAGCTTCATTTGAGGAAAATATAGGACTGAATGTGGGTGGAAATATCTCTTGGTGGAAGGACAGGTTCAGTTCAGACTGAGATGCTCCCTGAGAGACAATTGTTTTATTCTATCATATATTGTGAAATACTCACCCATTGGCAAGAAATTGTGTGCCACCTCTATAGTTTTTGACAGCATAAAGAGAAATGTTTTGTGGAAGAAACGGGACACATTTAATCATGGATTCTTCTTTCTGGTAAGGCTCTCTATTCAGATATCTATTTGAAAGTCTATACTGGGGTCAAGGACTCTCAGTTTTCCCAGGGACCTTATCGTGGCACTAAAATCACCCCCAAATTCTTAGCATACAAAGTAATTATGATGCGTAACTATAAATGATCAAAGTAATGAACATCAATAACATAAACATAATGTTATCCTCCAGTTTCATCCCAGACCTCTTGGCCAGTGACAGACCAGAGACATTCGGTACAATGGGTGCCCTGCATACTGGTGCTACGTTGATTTCTTTCTTCAGCTTTCTGTTCCTGATCTATGCTTTCAATTCAGACTATTGGATGGAGGACTCTGATATACATCTTGGTCTAGGGAACGTTTGTAAAGGCACACAATGTAAGTCAGAAGATATGAAATCGGCACCAGGTAAGATTCCGTATTCCAAATACATCACTAGCCTGAAATGCACAAAAACCTCCATCTTGAATTCTTACCTTGGGTCTGCTTTGGCTCCCTACAGCCCATTTATATGCCATCCTAATCTTTATGTCTCTGGGGATGATCGCTGGAGTTGTCTCTCTCGTTGGGTTTTGCACCCTGAATGGTCAACACACATCGGACAATAACTTCATCAGCTGGATTGCATGT